TGTGGACTTAACCAGCAAACTGATGTCTTTCTTTGGAAATTTTTGTGAGGATCACAGCTTTATGCCAACAGACATCAGACTGGTAAAACGATGCTTGCTCAGATAGAAAATCCTCTGAATAAGGATTCACACAGATTTCAGAGGAAGCAGATTTAGGAGGAAGACCAGACTGAGGTTAACGTTGTGGTATCAGGGGGATTTCAGAGGAACTGCCAAGTTAGGAAAAAACCTAGTGGTCATAATGGTGCGTGCATTCTTCCAAACTAACAAGGACAATATCCCTGAAAATGGCCAGGACCAAGATTAGCTGCCACAAAACTGTCACCTGCTTGCTTGGAAGCAGGACCTCAGCTGCAGCCCTGAGCTTTCATAAAAATGGTAACCCAGAGGGATCACAGTTCTACTCCAGTGGAAGACAAGCTGCTCTTCAGGACAAGAAGATGTAGTATTGTGGCACCTATTTTTCTATACCTGCCCAGGACATCTTCCCCCTGTGTGTTTTGGATCTGCTTATTTTCCTTCTCTTTCTCTGCTTCTTTCTCCTCTTTAGGCTCAGAGCCCAGCCTGAGCTGAGGTCTCTCATCAAAGAGACTAGGCAGCCCTTTTCTGAAAGAGAAGCATAACTGGTTTGCTCCTACCTCTCTTTTCAATCACACAATGTCTCTCCTTAACAAATATACCAGAGCCCACGTAAATGAGGAACATCCCTTTGCTGCTGGCAAAATTTCAGGCTGTTTGTCTTTTTAAAAGGTAACCATATCTATAGCATTGCTGGGCAGCACTGTTTAAGTACGGCAGATCAGATGCTGTCCTGATTTATAACCTCTGCCAGCCCAGGTGAATGAAGGAGACTGCGACTTTGCACACTCCCTCTGAAAGGCGAGATGCCCAGATATAATGTGTATGAGGACATATCTTTAGGGACTCTTTCTAGCCCACCTGGCATGTCTCAAGAAGGCAACTCAGCCAATATGAGAGTATTTACCTTGCTGCTTGAAAAAGAATAAGCAGGCCTGGGCATAATGCAGCCCGGCCACCACAGCAGGCTCTCAGGGCTCTACTGCCTTAGTCTTGTAAATCCCTCTGATGATAATAAGGGTTGCATGAGTGAGACACTAACTTTGATTTCGTATTTTAATCACAGAGCTCAAAATGGGGAGCTTGTTGGCAGCTGGCAGCCTTGCCTGCCTTTCCACTGCACCCCACGGGAGCATGGCTTTAAAGTGCAGCAGCATGCTGAAGTGTCTTCTGTTCACCAAAGAGCGGGGTGTAAAGCAGCTTTTAAGAAGACGGAGCATCTCCAGGTGGTTAAGGGCATGGAGCTACGGTGAATGTCTGTGGTGGGCATAACCACAGGCCGGCAGGGTTAAAAGGGAGGCTGTCCAAATTCATCCAAGACCTGCAAATCTTGAAACACGTAAACCCTACATGCGTCAGATAAAGAAGCCAGAAAGAAAGGTGCCCCCTAATGAGTTTTTTTTGCGCTTGGGTGAGCGAAAGGGCTGCTTCGGGAGGCTAATAACTGAAAACCTTCCAGGCTTTTGTCCGGAGAAATGGCAGGCACTTTCCATCCCTTTGAAAAAAAGAAGGCCTTTCGGAGTCTTCACGAGAGATGTGGATTTTAAGGGCGACCTTAGGTCATACAGAACTAATCAAGCGAAAACAATAAGAAAATTAGACTGACAGTCAGCAAGTATCTGAGGACTTTATCAAAAAGAATTAGGAATGGACAAATTCACTGGGAGCAAAGGATCAGATCTGCAAGGTGGCATTGTGTGGTGGGATTAAATTATTTATTCATTGTTAATTTATTTATTTATGTATGTGCAAATGACCTAGCTGCTGCAGGTGCTGAGGACTTTCTGAAAAGGCCCAGTTTCAGAGCCAAGGCTAGAATATTGGTCCATTTAACTCATTCTTTTCCTTAAGGCGATCAAACAGTGACTTTTATCTAGGAGATAGAGGAGGAAAACCATATGTGTACTGGGAATGATGTGGGCTCTGCGCAGCACTAAGTACCCAAGTATTCCAGTCTCATTCAAGAATGCTGTGCAGTTTAATGTCCAGCAAATTAGCAAATGAATGCTTATGTCAATATGTGAAAAATCCCTAGTTGGTTTAAACAGATAAAAAGCCTCTTGGGAAATGGCAGAAAATGCAGGCTTTCTTCCCCTGTCTCTTTTAAAGAAAGAAAGAGAAACAGTACTTATTAAGTTTTCCCCAAACTTACAGAAAGTTGCAGAAAACAACAACAGTCTACATGAATGCTGGGTCTCATATATCCATTAAGTATTTCCAGTGCTGCTACTGCAAAAATACACCAAGCTTTTGCCAGGCCCTCTTTGAATCACACACTTGCTATTCAAAAGAAAACGGTTAAAATCTGGGGCAGCTACAGAGCCTGTTAGATGCCATCTCACTACCCCTCTCTTAAAGGTACAGGAGGTCAAAAGCCCTGGAAAAGGTCCATCTTTCCATTTTGCACTGATTTATAAAACCAATCTCAAAGATGATATCCACAAACACCTTTTGTTTTTCCCTCTCCAAATTTAACCATTAATAGGAAAGGGCAAAAATTGTTATCTCATGTTTCCCTTGACCCAGCAGAGCAAAGCCACAGTGGGGACTCTGTGTACAACATGACCCTGTGGAAAAAAGGAACATGAGATCTCAGCATGGGGGTTGGAGGCAAGAAGTCACACATATCTAAAATGTCAGTGTCATGTCAGTTAATGCCCTGTGATAAGGGAGTCCTGCTGGGTTTTATGTCCTTTTGCAGAGATACAATTGAAGGGTGGCTGGTAAGGAGGATTTTTCACTAAATCCAGAAAAGGACTGTAGATATTTGGCCAGGACAGATCATAATGGATTCTCTTTCTCCAGAACAAGCATCAGTAGCTGTGCTGGGGATAGCAAAACTGCCCCGTGATACACATCTTGAAACCAGACTGGCAGGTTTATGCAGAATGCTATCTCACAGGCTTCTGCTTTGAACATGGTATTTCCCTCCTCTTGGCCAGTCCTAGGCCTTCTTCTCAAAACCAGCCTTTTTCATGTTATTTTGGAGTAAGAGCTACTGGAGTGAAAAATAGATGGCATTTTAAAGAACAAATGTGTTCAATAATACTACATTTAAAACATTAACTCATATTGAAAGTTCAGTGAGTTAGCTTCCCAGGCCATGCAAAAAAAATCACACACAAGCCATGTTGAAAGTCTGCTTCCTCCCTGGGGCCAGAAAGACCTCCTTTCTCCCTTGAACACTGATGTGCGAGGATGAATTTGGTCAATATGAATGCCAGCATGTCACTAAAATGCTATGAGTTACCTTCCACAGCCTGTGGCACACAGTAACCAGGGAGCCTGTGAGGCTATGGCCTCACTCCATGGGCCATAAGGGTGCATTTTAAAAAGGCTGGACCCAAAAGCAGAGTTATACAGCTCTAAGAGCTCAGTCATCTCAGGAACAAGCATCACAGGCCAGACCTCTTCTTGGTCATAATTTCAAATGGATACAGTCGCATCTCGCAAGAGAAATACTTATTATCAGTATACAGCTTCTCTAACATTTTGTGTTTGTTTCAGTGTCCTGTTATTAAAAGAACTCTTTCACTTCAGAGACTGTGTGGACAGGTACATAGGATGCTAAGAAAGGTTGTGCTCTAGTTCCATCTCTGCCATGGCACTGCAGGATGCACACAGGCACAGTTTCTGCCTCTGTTTTCATGCAAGTAATTCAGAGATCAGAGCACCTATTACTTCTATATTTAAGATGTATCACATCTTATTAATTTGCCGTATTCATTTTCTTAATTCTAATACTGCCATTGATTTAAGATTCGTCTTCACAGAGCCATTGTGCATAGAGCTTCTAAGCACTCCCCAGTTCAGGCAGCCAAGCTGTTGAAATCCCCTGCATTTTCACGATGCAGAAGGCAAAGGATGGTGCCAGAGATTTTCTCAGCTAGCCTTCAATAAAGAGGCAGTGGAAGTCATACGTGAGGATACCTGTTTGTAAGTAAATACTCACAGATATTAGAAATATATCAAAAAGGAAAATTAGAAAAGGAAGGTAGCACTTCAGCAGCTATGAAGTAACATGAGGGAACCAAACTTCTCTCTGAGCCAGAGGGAGGCGGTCCAAGTAGGCTCTGGGGAAGTCCTGTCACCAACTTCAAGGTGCAGCAGCTGTAAGTAGTTGTTAAAGACTTCTGAGATGTTTGCATTTTACAAATAACAGCCTTCACTGTATAAAGTCACTGTGAAATTAATGTGCTGTTTCTCTATTCAGTGCATGGATGTTTATACCTGCTGCAGGGAGAAAAAAATTACAGCAATTAAAAGGCAGAGTAAGGGATGAGACAAACCAGAAAATTATGCTGCCTTTCAAATGAAAATGTTTTGTCTTTTTCACAACAGATATTTCAAAACAGATCCACAGATCTTACTGAAACACAAAGATCTATTCTTAAGAAAAAGCAAAGCCCATGTAAATAGATGATCACTATTGTTGTAACAGTTTTCATCAGAAAAGCTAAAGGGGGACAAAAATGCAGAAGATCATAAAAAGACATGCAAAAGCAGAACAATGTTAAGAAAGATGCTATTAAAACATTCCTATTTAAGCTGAACAGATAGTTTGCACTAATAAATACATCAATAAATGGCCCAAAGAACCCTCCTTAGAGTAAAGGAAGTTTGGCTTAGCTGATCAGATACTCAGTAAGACAAACACAAAGGTGGAAAGTGCAGTGTAAATCTGCCCTTTGGGGTCTGGTCCATGATGGTGGTGTCTAGCACACAAGTGTTTTCAAGTACACTTTACATTTTCCCTACCACTCAAAATGTGCAAGCACTACTGAGTTAGTCCCCAGCTTCAAAAGCCAGAGGGTCTGAAACACTAGAGTGTTCTTAACTACCCACCCCCTGAATGGGAATGCTCTGCTGAGTTATGAAAAAAGGGGAAAAAGAACCATTTCTGGACTTCCCCCCCCCCCCCCAATATTACAATATTAAACAACCTTAAATATGTTTTGCAGGAGGGTGGATGAACCTTTAATATACTCACTGTGTGGTTGGTCACAACTTCTGTATGCTCTTTTATACAGTATAGGATCTTCTGAACAGTGTTTGAGATAACAGATAAAATACAGAGAGCAGGAAGAAGTTCAGACACCCAGCAGCTCAGCCCTATTTAGGTGTCTTCAGGAAATAAGCTGGGAATTAGAAAGTTAAACGTTTGACTGGCACAGATGCATATTGCAGCCTTCCTCTCAAAGAATTTCCTAGTGGTCCTACATAATTTGGTTTGGTTTACTTTAAAGGGAAGACATAGAGGGGAAAAACTAATGGAAGCAGAAATCATATTCACCAGAACAGAGCCCCTTAAAAAGTCTACAGAAGTAATACCATTCTATAAAGACTCTGCCCATTCCAGAGATAACATACATGTTGTTTCCCACGCTTCTATCATGGATTAGCACATGAAAATACAATTTATATACAATCAAACACATTATCAATTAAAAGAAAGGGTATTTTCACATTTTATATTGATTAGAAGCTGCCAGGGAAAAATAAAAAGTCAAAACTTATAGATCAAATTTTAAAGCTTATGGTAGGCTATTAAATGAAGGAAACAGCTTCACGAAGTCTCCCTGACTGCTGAGATGACGTTGCTGCAAACATCCAAGAGTTAATTGAAAGTCAAGTGTAAATACATAGCAAGCTGTATTGCCCGATTCAGAAACCTAGACTAAATGATGCAAGAGTTTTGCCTAGAACTGTTATCATCTTTGACTCTTTTTTTCATGAGACATCCCCTCTAGAAAATCAAGGACAAAAGGAAAAAAAAAATAGCAAGTATGGCATCACATATCCTTGGGATGGAGAACATTTCTTTCTTCTTCTTCACAGAAATACAGGAAGTCACAGTGGTAATTCAAAGCCATGTTAGAAAAACAGCATGAATTTATGAAATAAAAATGACAAAAATATTATGTAGGCCTTAATTGCTTTTGGTCTATTGGCAATCCATGTACAAGTGTCTGAAAATCAGAAACAGGATGTAACTTGTTTATTTTTACATTCGTGGCACCTTAAATTAAAGGTTGTAGTGGAAATTAATTATTATTTGTAAAGAACTGCCCAATTATAATAACCTGGTTGTCACAGAGAAATGGAAGCAATTCCTAAATACCTAATTCTAAACTGTATGAGTAGGTGAAGCCATCCAAAGGTAGCAGTGGCATTATGCATGGGATGTACATTATGTACTCCTGGCTCGGAATGATTTGACCTGTCATGCTTCAGCTGCCCCAGCAGCTGAAATTAGAGGAGTCAGGCACCCAAGTGCAACTGTCTGTGCCTGAGGCACCAGGTCACTAACGGCAAGGAGAGCAATAGTAAGATGGCTGGTACACCAAGAAAAGGGATGTGGCAGGTGTATCTTCCCATGGACTGGCTCTTTTAAGATTCCTTAGTCTGTAATTGCTTCAGAACTTCAAGTTCATTCAGTTTGATTTATATGAGAATAAGATGGAGCAAAATCTGAATAGCAGAATTATGAAAAAGGCACAAAGCAACACCCCATTTACAATATGACTGCTTCAGACTTTTGGCCAGACTCAAATCAAAACTACTTGCTTTTTCCTGGGTTAAAACCAGATCAGAACATCCTGAGATGTGCACAGATCAAGTGCAACTAGGACACAGCACCTCACGTGCCTCTACATTTCACTGTAAGTAAAACGGGTAAGGACTGGGGAAGACGCACTGGAAAATTGAAAGATCTATTGTGTTTCTATTTTTGTAAGAAACTTGCTTGGCATGTGCTGCTGACTGCTGCCTGCGCATCTACATGCTGTCGTCTGTCGGCTCAGGAATGCAAGTGGGACAGGATAGTTCAAGCAGGACGTCAGCTCCTGAGGCTGTGCCAGACAGCTCTAACAGAAGCTGTGCTACAGGCTGGAATGAGAGTGCTTCTGTGCATTTACTTCCAGCTTAGCTCATGCTGCCTGGGCATGTCATGTACCTGAGGACGGACCCTTCTGTTTGCTCCTTAAACTCCTGTTAAGGTTGGACAGTTTGGTTTAAAATATCTCACAGCAGCCTTAAGTTTGTCTTAAAGTTTCATCAGCTAGAAGGGCTCTCCTTCCTGCGTTTTCAGTCCCCTGCCTCACCAGGTCACTCTCCAGATGAAGGCTCACCAGAGTCCAGGTCCTCCTGGCACCATCAGCTGCCTCCCTTCTCCCTCTGTTCTGCAGTGTACAGCAAAGAGATGCACCAGCACAAGTACTTTGCCCACCAAAGATTTCTCTGCAGAGAGGGGCTATCCAGATGCAAACTAGAGTGGCTTTCCAGATATTTAAGTAATGTTTAAGATCTATCCTATTGTAAGAGCAGCTAAGGTGGGGTAGAATTTCACATGAATATATAGCAGAAGACTTAAAGTTAAATGTAAACATGCTGAATGGGCAGGGAAATGGCATTTTGTTTAAGGTTGTCCTCGGTCATGAGCTAGCTGAGGTCTGAACACTGGTAATGTCAATGTCAGGAAATTTGGCAGGGGAAAGCGCTGCTGCAGTAAGTTCTGGACTTCTACCAGAGCTCCCATACTTGGAGCTGGCAGAATGGGGTAGCGTTTCATCTGCTGTTTTAAAGCACCCATAGCCATCTCACGGAGAATGCAATGCACTGTATCTGACAGCACCTATAGCCAAACAGAAAATAAAACCCCCCAAAACAACCCCTCCACTTTCCCACCACAAATCATCGGGGGCAAAGTGCGGACGTTCCCTTCCGCTCGCACACCGCATCCCTTCTCGCCGCAGCAAACCCCTCGCCGCTCCCTCGGATGCTCAGCCCCACGGGCCGAGCCGAGCCGAGCCGGGCCGGGTCGGGCTGGTGCAGGTGGCACGGGAGCGCTGCGCCCCCTGCAGCTCCCGGCGCTGCAGCGGCAGCGGCTGAGCCCCTCTGCAGGCAGCTGCGGCGGTCAGGAAGGAAGGAACGGTTTTGTCTGAACTACAAAAATGACTGAGTCGGAGGTCGCCTTCTCAGCCCATCTGTAAACCCCAGCCTTGGCGTTTTATGCCACCGCAAGTAACCAATATGACTGCTTCACACGTCCTCCCGCTGCCAAGAAGAAACGCCGCAAACCCTATTTTTGATCTAAAACTCATCACAGACTTCTGGAGGAACAAGAAAGAAGCCAAGCCGTGGATTTGAAACTTATTTGCTGGGGAAAGCTCTGCCAAAAGACACCCTCTGCTTTTCTGTCAGGCCCCGTATTTCCACCTCGTTCTACACCTGCTGTGACTGAGGTCAAGTGATATGTCACTCTGTCAGATCACACAGTGAGTCAGTGGCTCTTCCCGGATTAGAACGATTCCACACGGCCCTCTGAAAAGATTTGTAACAAATGTCAGCGCCAACCGTTCACTGCTTAAAGCATATGTTTAAAGCTCTTAGACGTCTCAGTCAAAAGGTATTGTAAATATAGGGACAAAGCTAGTAAATGCTTCGCTGTGGAGTTTTAATAATGGCAAACCAGAATCTAGCACAGATTAAGAAAAAAACTGAAATAGGTCACTCTTAAGCAAGGAATATGTGCTATATTTTGGAGCCCTTCCAAGATCAGGAAAGGATTTGAGGTTTTTCCCCTCCAGTAGTAACCAAAATGGTCAAGATGCTAGTGGTAACATCACGGGGGAGGAGGGCACAAAGTAACTCGAATATAACTTCCTCTTTCTTGCTTGTTAGCATTCCCGGGCAGTGTTTTCAGTATCTTTTTTTGTGATTAAAAAAAAAGAACTGAAATGGCCATTCTGTCATGCACAACACAAAAATGCCTGACATAATTCTTTACTACTGTCATCAAAATACAAGAAATTTCCTTGCAGAAATCTCACATGTGTAGAGATTAAACATGATTTTTAAGTTATATCAAAACCTACTACACAACCACACCCCTTTATAACATCATCTTCCCAGGAAAAAAATATTCCAGCTATTTAGAAAAAGGCCATGACAAGGCCCACAGATGACTCAGGTCCCACTGGAAACTCGTTTGAGGTTTAGAAGGAGTGTACAGGTTTAGAATGGTGTAGAAGGAGTGTGACTAATGTGCTGGTTCCTAAAAAGAAGCAAAGATAAAGCTGGGAAGACTAAAGTGAACTTCTCTTTCGAAATCTCTGGACAGGTCAAACTAAGATAATATCAATAGATGTACATAACACAGGAAATGTTCATCGTACCATATGAAATCTTCCCATACTGTCATTCCCATGCTGTTTTCTAAGAAACCTGGTCCTCCAAGCTTCTCTCAGAAATATCAGTCACATTATGCCACTCTTTATGCCTGAAATGGTCTATTAAAAACATGGTGGTGAAGTAACCTGAAAGTTTACTTTAAGACAGGGAAGGATGAGGGTAAAAGCAAAGAAGTCTTTAGACTGAACTTCTTGATATTCACTAAAACCACCAAAAGCTGACAACTCTTGTAGAGATTTGTACCTGCTTGCAGAGAGCACCTTGAAAACTCAAAGGAATGCTTATTCCTTAGAAATGTCTTTGTTTTAAGGTGACTGATAAACTCAAAAGGGCAATGGTTATTTTGGGATGTAATGCTCGATATTTTGGCTCTCCTACCCAATAACAGGCTGACAGACTAAAAGACCAAAAGGGATCGGTGCTGACCTTCTCTTTTCTGTACAGAGGGTCACTGAATGAGTTAAGCAAGAGGAGGTAATGAAGGATCTAGCTATATAAGCACACTGGATTTGGTGACATTGGATTCTGGCTGTAAGATGAGCTGCCCTTCACTTAAGCTGGCTCTCCTTCAATCTTACCAATAAAATCTGCAAAAATTACTATATTGCACAGCTCAGCTCCACACTCATCCTGTTAAAGTGGTGACAACCCTGGCATCATAAAAAAGCCAACACCACCTTTTAAAGTGCTGCCAGAGGTGAAAGGAGAGGTCCTGAAACACATTTCTTGTGGAACCTTGTGTTCTGGATATTTTTCTCCCTTTGGACTGAAAAGCCTTTTTCCCATAATCCAGCATTACATATTTTTCTCTGTCTAGGTTTTACACTCATCTCCATGAGCTATGTAAAATGGTAATGGGGTTTTATTTTAGTTCCTTCATAAACTGTGAAGACAGACTTTAAATGGCAAAGTGTTTAAACTACAAGTCTTTTCACACGTTGCAATGAAGCAAGCAAGACTTCCTCTAAAAAAAAGAAACCCACAGCTGTTCCATTGCTGTTTCTTGATGCTACCCCACCAACGTCCTCCTTTGAGGCAAAAATACTCCCACAGTGCCTTCAGATTTTGCCATGTTTTTTTTACTTTGTGTAATGCTTTTCTCCGTAAATGGTCCATAACATTAAAACTGGCAGAACTAGATCCAAGATATTAATACCATGGTGATAAACATCCCGTCAAATAGCATACAACTTTCAAGTACTGAACGAGTGATGAACATGATACTTGTGGTTTTAAGCAACTGAAAATGTTGCCAAATGCCTCCTCTTCATAGAGTCAGTTTATAAATCAGAGGGTGTCGTGATTTAAGCACAGCACTGCACCAGCTACTAAGAAGGAGAAAAATGACTGCTACTGCTGAACCCAGGACAGAGGGTAAATTTGACATCTACTTAAAAAAACCCAGAGGTTGCTAAATAAATATTGAATTGGCTGATAAAGCCTCTGATTGGCCTGGACATGGGACACTTCTGGCCACTCGAAACCTCCTGGTGGCCCAGGGCCCTCTGTGCATTAGCTGAAGACCATGTCTTTCATACAGCTGTTTGACTGCACAAGTCATTACTGGGTAAGACATTTAATACAGCTGATGTGCTTCATACAAAGGAAGTACTACACGGAAGTAAACCTGGCACAAAGGAACTGATTACAAAAGGCATCTGATATCACTTACAGATCAATCCCTCTTTATGCACAAACTTGCAAGTCACCACTACCTACAGAATCAATCTCACTTTTCCAAGTAAGGCTGGTAGACCAGAGAATGTCCCATATGAAACATACACTGGGCAAGCTATCATCTTCACGAAACTACATTGCAGATCAGCCAGATTGGCTCAGCAAGGGTATTAACCATGACTGCATTAACCACTTATCCCTAGAGAAGATTCTTGTTTGATAAAGACAGGGTTTATTTCCAGGACAGCTACCACTGAGTTTGAAAATTACTGATCAGGTATGAAATTTCCTACAGGATTATTCATCAGCTGGCCTTAGTCAACCAGTCAAAAACCCAGCA